TGCCATAATAAAAGAGTTGCTTTTCTTCTCTTGAACAATCATTTTCTCCCCCAGTCTTCTCTAGTTCATAAGATTTGATCTCAGCCTGGGTTTCTGTAGCTGTGACACAGCTCAGCCTTTGTAACTCTTCTTTCATGGTGGCAAGGCTTTGCTTCTTCTCCCTCTTGCCTCCTTGGCAAGAACAAACAGCGGCCAGAGGAAGGAGCACTGTGACTATTCCTTTATCGTGACCTTTCCCCCAAACACTCACAGAATGGAAAAAAAGTCAAAACAGAAGCATCAGTCCTAGCCCACCTTGTACCAGCCTGCATAGCAGATCACCAGTCATGGAAATGGTTCAATAACATTTAACCCACAGGCATTCTTACAAACTATCAGGCATGATTCTCAATGCCCATGCAATCATCACAACAACCCTATAAAATAATGTCATTATCCCTGTTTTCCAGAGGGGGACCCCAAACAAGAATCAATGGGAAAATGACCAAGGTCACAGAAGCAGTCAGGACACAGAATGAAGTAGGCAGGTTGAGGAATGCCCTGCTTGAGGAAAAAAACCACACTAAATACACATGCATAGGTACATTAATACATACATGCATACATACATACATACATACATACATGCATGCATACATTCATACTTCTTTCTCTAGCAGAACAACCAAAAAAGAACATTAATAAAATAATAATTCCAAGAAAAAGATAACTACTTTTTTAACTTTTCTGATTGATGCTTATTTATTTGTTTATTCACCTTTCAAGAGAAAAGGTCTATACCGTTACCGTAAAACATTCTCCTGGATGTGTGTGTGCACAGGGAGGACTCAGTCACACCCTACCTGAACACTGATAACATAGCTCCTTATAAGTCAGGACTTCCCAAGCACCCCAAGGCCTAGAGCTGGAAAGAGCAGGAAGCCTGGGCCCTGCATGCCACCCAGCCTCTTACTACACCTACATCTGCCACTATCATTGATCTGTGACTGTTCATCAATCTTCTAAGACTGTATGGAAAAGCAAGAAGAACAGGAAGTGAATATACTCCATTTACTCCTGTGGAACTCACTAAAGTGAGTTGGGGCAATGAGGCTTCTTCAACATCAAACAATGGACTAGGATTTCTAACATTTACTAATATCACAATTAGTTATTAATTTAAAAAATACAAAGCATCAAACTATATGTAATAAAACCACAAAGGACTATATGCCACCAAGAAAGAAAATCCATCATATTACACAAATTTTGGCAAAAAATAAATGGTTCCTGATTCCCTTTGAGAACCACAAAAATTATTTTTTTTCATTTTTTCTGAGATCATGGCATCTCTCTAAACAATCCTTTATAGAAAGTGAATGTCTATTTTTATTCTGTCTTCTGTCACTTTGGCATGTTATGAACCCAATCAAAGTTTGTCAAAGAAAAATAGTCTCCTTTTCAAAAGTGAATAAAATGTTCATTTACTTTGGGTAAATTTCCGCCCTCAATCCGACCATCTGGATCTAAATTAAGGTACCCTACTTTGAACATGGGTGTGCACACCATCTGGCTACCCAAGAGCGGCAATTACTTCAGGTAAATGAACATTCTACCTAATTCTAAGAAGTGTATTCTCCCATAAGAGGCGATACCATAAATACACACCCCTTTTATCTGCCTGATGCACATCTACTTGGAAAAGGGTAAGTATGTGTTCTAACTAAAGGCGATAATTAATTATATGTCTACAAACATCTTAATTTTAGGGTAACTTGCTATTTCCAGTATTCAACAAGTGACAGGCTTCTTCTAGCCTACTGAATAAGTAAGAATGGAAGATATGCCCATGACTAAGGTATCTGGGGTTCAATTGAAAAGTTTGTCTACTAGGTGGGAAACACAGTCTTCTCTGTAGGGCAGACCCAAGCACTGTCCAAAACACAGTGGAGGATAAAATTTTCGGGGTCAATGGTACACAGCATAGCACACAGGCTAATCTTCTCTCCCAAAGTTCCTTCTTACTGCTGGGTAGGTTAGTGCATAGCTAGAAACTCATCACTCAGGAGTGTAAGGTAGGAGGACCAGGAGCTGCAAATCAATCTTGCCTTTGTCTTGAGACTCTTTCTCAAGCAAACAAATGAAAAGGAAACTCCTTCTCCTGGGTCTCTGAGAAATGAGACAACCTTACTGATCAGATAGTCATGAGCTACTGCTTCCACCAGGATAAACAAAGTCAGGGAACTGTGGGGTGTCTCTTCTAAGTATTTCAAGTTATTCAGTGTAACTACTGCTGGCAGATTAAATATTTGTTTTCATTACAGAAATTATCCTATAATTAAATTGGCAAAAATGATGATTAACTAAAGATCAAGATATGTAATCATTAATCAAATGAAAATTGAGTTCGCATCTGTGTCCTTTAAAAAGAGGGCTTTTTAAATGCCAATTTACATTGAATTTTTAGTACAAAATCATTATCAATAAAAGGCCATTATTGGCTGAGTTCCTAATAAATTGGTCAGCTTTAAATCCTCTAAGTAGCTATAGTAACAAGAACACCAAAAGTTAATGTATGGAATGTTGGTATACTTATAAAATTATTGGATTATTTTTGCCTTATCAACTCTAGACATAAAAGCCAAGAAATTATAATATTCACTTTGCTGTTGGGGGTGGAAGATTAAAACGTTCTCTAAGATTGTATTTAGAAATAAATCCATCCCGGGACTTTCCAAACATTAAATCCTGCATTTCTATTGGAAACCATGTGTGCATCAGGTTAAACTTCCAGCCAAAGCATTTACATCTCTAGGGAAAACTGAAGGAGGAAGTCTGAATACAAACATGGACTGTGGGTACAAGAAATCCGTTACAGGGCAAGCTGAAACATCTGGTCGTTTTTGGAGTCCTCTTAATTTGAAAGCACTGACCAAAACAAGCTGAGTTCTGCCAAATACATCTTGGCATGGCTTAAGAAAAAAAAATACAGAGTTTGAGAGGGAGCAATTTTTCTTCACCACAGTGAGATGTATCGGTGAGGATGTGCAACCCTCTCTGTTGACATTTTGACATGATGAAGCTGTTTCCAAACCCAGCATGCAAATCTGCCCCCTTTTGCCTCTACTGCAAATTTTATATAATTGTGGGCTTAAAAGTAATTTTTAATCTATAATCTGTGATGGAGGAAGTGATGGTGAAGGGTTTAAACTATCCAGACCTGACACTGGGTGTTAGAAAGTGAGTAATTTGTGTATTGATTTGTAGGAAGTTGTACCTATCACACCACTACTAACACATGGAGTACTTTATTTGGGGCCACTTCACAGCAGTGTATAAATGATAAAACTTTTGTACACGTCCATGCTACAAGGAAAATTTCCCAGCTTCTAACAATAACTGTTTCTGAGAGTTTCCAAGCACCCTGAGCTCTGATCCAGGACCGAGCAAACCAAAGTTCAAATTCCACTTTTCTGATGACAGCCTGTTGACCTCAGGTCCCTGTGCTACTCTGAGCCTGTGTCCTGATGTTTGGAGATTCACTGGGGCAGGCTCTGCCCTCATTGCTTTCTAATGATCAGTTCAGCCTACCTTTAGGCAATGACTTCATGTATTAGTTCACTTTGATAGTTCATCTGCCCAATAGTCGCTTAAATAATTGAAGTTATTTTAAATGCAATGAAAACAAAATTCATTCATACATTTATTCAACAGTATATGCGAAAGCTGTCTACCATAGGGCACTCATCTGAACTTTGAAGTACTCCATGGCAGGCCTGGCCTGGGGTGAAGTGCTTTTCAAGGCCATATTGATCGATGCTATAATGGAGAGAGGAACTATTATTATCACCGAGTTAGAATTTAAAGAAGGAGCTCTGGGGCCAAATCATCTGGGTCTCACTTTGTGATCTCAGTCAAACTATGACTTTGCTGAGCCTTCCAGTTCCCACCTGTAACACAGAGCACTGAACCCCATAGGGATCTGATGAAACTTAGTTCACCTGGAGGGCGCAATCAACACTAGAAGCAGCTGTCAATCATTGCCAAGCACTGTCAACTTCGACACGTTCTTCAAACTTTCACCACAGCTATTAGAACTATAAAGATCTGGACACAGAGCTGTTGGTTCTAAAGAAAGCCCCGCCTCACAAAAACTAAGAGAATGTACCCCAAATCTAAAGTCTGCAAATTTGCACCGTTTGCTAGCTTTCCCTCCCTTTTCCATTGGCAGCAGCTGAGGGACCAAATGGAGAAAAGAGCCTTCACAGTGGAGAGGAGACATCACAGTGCCTTAAGAAGTCCCTCTCTCTGATTTAGACAACAGCAATGGCCCGTCCAGGCCCCAGCCCTCTGCCCTGCCCCAGCCTCACTGTCCTGTCTTTCCCTTGAACTTCTCTTTGTGATCAAAATCGCAACTTGCAATTTGGGAAAACTTTACAAAGCCCAAACCTAGGCTGTATACTGAGTCTCCCAGGGGACGTACTATTCGTAGTCAAGGAAGGTAACATGTTAAGCAGAGGGGGCGTGTCTGCCCTGGACTGATGCCTGGGTTGAGCGGTTACTTGCTGGAAGTTGGTTTGTTTGGTTTTTTGGGTTTTTTTGTTTGTTTATTTTTTTGTTTTTTGTTTGTTGTTATTGTTAGTGGTGGGGGGGTGGACTTTTTAGTTTTTGTTTTTTCCTTGTCATTTAGATGACCAGCGACATTTAGGGGAAAACGGCAAAAGTCCAGATGGCTATGTTACTGGTCAAGAGGAGCAAGGGCCGAACTAGATAGAGGAAGGGGCAGCAATCGTTATCTATTGGTATTGCTAAGTTTGTGGACTTGGCAACAGTGAGACACCAGACATCAGAGAGACCCCTATGGTTCCAGAGGACCATCCCATCTCACCTTAGCTTCCTTCCCTCAACCCTGGGTTTCTAGATATTGGAAGCTAACGGGGTCCCCAGGTCGGCTGAGCTCGCTCAGCAGTGCGAGCAGCCTGGCGGGGTGGGGCAGCGCGGGGCACCGCCTCCCTCCATACCTTCTCTCCCCGTGGAGCACGTAGGAGCTGCGGAAGAAGCCGAGAAGCTCGTTCTCTATCAGGGCATTATAGATAATCTTTAGGTTGTAATTCCTCTGCGCGTCCAGGGTTCTATTCAGCACCACCACCAAGACCTGGGTTTGTGGGTAGAGAAAAAAGCCTGCTACCGGGACTGCCCCGAACGCCCGGTCCTCCGCCACTTGCACCTTTTCCACCGCCACCCGGGAGGCATGCAGCACCACGTAGCGGGTGGCGTTCCGGCACGCGATCTCCACGTTGACCTCCCCGGAGAAGGTGAAGTTCTCCATGAAGGCGGTGAGCATCAAATTGTAGTGAAGGGGCTTGAGGTGGCCGGATAGGCGCAGCTGAGTCCAAGGCTGCCACTGTTCTGTCTCTTCCTCCGACGGCGGCAGGGCAGACGGGGTCCCCGGGGTGTCCACCTCGCTGCCGGTCTCGCGCTGCGAGGAATCCCCACCAGCATGGTGGTTGCGCCGGGCGGATCCTGGGTGGCTGCTGTTGCTGCCGCCGCGCTCGGGGAAGCCCCCGGGGCCCCCGCCGGCGTCCCCCCCCCCCC